GTCAAGTCGAGACGCGTAGTGTCTCGATAGGCGAAACGGTAAGGAAGTGCCACAAAATAATTACATTTTTAAGTAAGGTCTGCTTTGCACGGAGCATTGCAAAGAAGGAATTATGGTAGTTTAACTAAAGCTCTAAAGTTTACAGTGCTTGTCAAGACACTTAGCATGAGCGATGGCTTAAACTACACAAAAGAGAAAACAAATTACATTTTATGGAAGTATAATTAGGCGAGCTGGTCGGATAAAACACAGTTTAAAATACTTTTCACCAACAAACAAAGCGAGGTTACCTGAAGTTGAAATAATCGGAAGTAAAATTCAATCAGAAGGAATTCGCTCATAGACTGGTTAAAAATTCTTGATAAAATCAACTGCATGCAGGCTTTTTCTTGTCTCGAGGAGACTAAGAGTTCCGCTACGAGGAAAGTTTTAAAGAGCAATGCATTGGAAGACAACTTCGTTGGTTGCGTCTACAGTTTCACGATTTATGAATAAAAGGGAGAAGGGCGAGCATTAACCACTGCGAGGAAACACTGCTATTGTTGTACGCCAGGACTATTTGTGTGTTTCCGGAGACATGCCCAAGGGCAGAGGAGATTAAACAAACACTTACAAGGACAATTAAAAAACGCCTGACAAATACAAAACTGATCTTGTCTAGAAGAGATCGTCAATTTTAAACTTTCCACTTCATTTGGTGCCTGGGCAGTTTGATCAACCCATCCTGATTCGGTGATGCAGTAAGTGTTCAGCCTGCTCTAAGCCCACCCAGTGACTGTTCAGGCAGATCCAGAGTGTAAAGCTTAGAAAAAGCTAATTACAGGGTTCGACAACAGGTTGAAGCATTGATGCAAGATTTCCACCTCATTCTTAAGGGGAGTCGAGCATTTTCGAATAAACTAGCGAATTAATTTTCCTAATTTTAATGAGAAAATTTTGTATGAATGTAGATATAGCTTGGTGCCACCTCCGGATTAGGTCTCCGTAAAGGGATGCCGTGGCAGCACTTTTTGCAGTAGATACGTTGTAATTATCAAATATGACTGATCTTGGTACTTTCCATTATGGGAGATCATCTGAGTCCGCAGCGGGAATAGGAGTAGGCTTGGGGATTACCTGAAGTACTAAAATTTCCTCCGCAGGAATTAAAATTGAATTGTATATTGGAGTCCAAGGACGAGGCAAAGACTAGACAGCTTTAGCAATGGAAATTTTCGGAATGCAACTCTGAATGCGAAAGTTTCCAAATTTGCCAAATAATTTGTACTGAAGAATGATAAAATATTCAAAGATTCCATTTTTGCAATCATTTTGAGCCATGGTTTTTAAAAGAGGGAGGGGAAGAATAATTGTAGTATGAAGACTTTTCCTGAATTGACACCAAGACAGCGTATGTTAACGCACCAATTACCGCAATTGTTATGTACATGCCACCGGGTTTTTTCACTCTGGATGCTCCACTCAGTTTGTCAGAGGGACGTAATTAATAGACACTCTACTGGATAGTGAGAATTTTACGGTCAATTTTTTCACCTAACTGAGCGTGAAAAGTGTTACCAGCCCCAATTTGCACGGACGCAATATTCACTTTTTCTCACACTCACAACCACATAAGAGGGAGATATGTGGCAAAGGCATCTATCACCTCATGCAACTTTACGTCGGATGTAATATGCGCTCTCAAATCACTAATCCTTGTATAAAGTTACACCGTGAGTACACCTAGAAATCACTTTGTCCGAGAGAAGGCATAGTTACAGCAAGTGCTACGTAGAATGGTGTGAACGCACCTGAATAATTGGTTCTGTGCAAGAGCATTTAACACGACACGTCAGTACCCCGCTGGATCCTACTATGAGAGTTTGGTTCTCCACTTCACCAATTATCCTCGGGATCGCAGAAGGCGGCTCTGCAGCAAACCCAATGCTCATAGTGTTTTACGGAGTGTGTAATAAAATTAAAGTAGCAATTTCAATATCAGCTTACCTTTGACAGTGAGGCGAAAGGTGTAATTAAGGGTGCCGATCGGGTTTTTCACTTGACATACGTATTGACCTATATGTTCTCGACCTACGCGTTCGATGTGTAAAGTGGGACCGCGAACACCCTGATTGCTTGATATCCAGTCAGCCACGGCGTTCCCCATGAACCAGAGATACTTGATGGGCTCCCGGCCGATGGCCTCGCAGCTCAGATCGACGGCTGATCCCAGCTCCGCCTCGGTTGTCATTATGGTGTCAGGTCGAAGGTTAGGGTCCATCAGGCACAAAGCTGGTTTAAGGGACAATCGAGTAACAATGAAACCAACACACACTACAGCATTTCATGTTATGCAGTATGGAGCACTAAGATCATGACTACCAATGAATGAAAAGACCTCTTGAGTGATCAACATTTCCCAAGCCTAATGAATAAATCAGATCCATCCATCATCCTGTCACTATCACCTCGTAATAAACGGTGGTACAACCTTCTACCAACCCCTTCCCCTTCAATGCTCCAAAATAAGGTGTGATTTTTTCCTATTCACAAATGCCATGGTTATCTTTATTCGCACCTTCATCTGTTAATCTAGCTTTAAGCAGGAAGAAAGCCGCCACTAATTCGATCATGTCCACCTGTCTAATAACAAACACACGTAGTCAGATAAGTCAGCAGATGCAATGACTTTTCAGTAAGAGCATTTCATGGGAAAAAAGCCAACCTTGATTGCGATCCGTGGCTCCAGGATAGGCCTTGACGCAGATGAGGTTGTCATTTGTATCTAAAAAGACAAGCACATAAGTGATAGACTGCCCTTTGCAGGCATTCGAACTTGTCGATTCTATACTTGCGCAAGCATAATATTCGTGAAAGTGCGTACTGAAAGCCCGTTCTTGGTGTATGATGCTCTGAAGAGTAGCAAAACCGTAACCGAAAACGCATTAAACGCATAGCACAAAAGGCCGTCCGTACCTTAAAATGAACCTCCCATCCCTTTCCTCCAGGCAAGTCAACAGGCTGAAATAACTACTAATAACTCTTTTGCTATTGACAGTCGCTCTCTAACATGCCAGAACTTGAAAACGATTGTGTCGTTTTCTCTCCTCCCCTTGCTGCGTAAAATGAATGCTTTCATGAGCTCGCAGAAGACCAAAAGGGCTCATGCAGTTGTTTTAAGTTTTCTTCCAATCAAAGGCACTGTAAACACGCAACAGATTGGTAAGTTTATAACATTTACCTTCCCATCCCTAAAATTCACGTCGGAGTGTTTTTAAGACAAAGAAATTGATGGCCACTACAGTCTGCTCGTCAAATCGTCAGGGATGTTACAAACTGCATGAGGGAAATGCGCGAGCAAATGCCAAATCATCAAGCCCCTAATTGGTGTAATTTGACAGTTTGCTGTAAATTGTTAGCGGCGATATGCCAAAGCCTTGTGTCAAAATAAAGGTCAGTTCTGCCCACTGACACATTTTCTCCATTCTTCCATCGATTGCTTCCAATATCTGTGACTAGATACAGGAATTGTTTCCGACGAGCCACTTTTTTCGTTTCACCCACTTGTGGTGTGTTGCGCAAGTGTTTGAGATAATGAAATAGAAATTTTGTGCCAGAAAGCAACTCAGAAATCACTTTAGCTCTGTCTGTCATTCCCCACTTCGTCTTTCAGAATGAGGCTCTTAAAACTGAAGCGTTACTTCTGACAAGCAAACGATTTACGTGTGCTTAATGTATCCACAAATTCTATTTTTGCATCGAGAGTGTTAATCTTTGGAAAGACAATTTCAGGGAATTTCCCAGCGTCTCAAACAAATCTAGGACTCACCAGCAACATGAACTTCAAAATCGACTTTCTTCTGACCAAATCCAGTCACCCCTGAGCATTGGTAAATACCAGCGTCCGACTTGGTCACCGGCTGGGTTAATTCGACTACCCGTCCGCCCTCAAGGAAGCGGAAACGCGTGTCCATAGCCACGGCATATTCTGGAAGTCCCTGAATGTTCCACTGATAGATAATATCATTCATAAGACCCCCATCATGGAAAGATGAGGGTTGGTTTTCGCTTCCCAAGTGAACTGGTCCCTCACTTGACCCCCATATGGGACATTCAAGTAGGAGATGGTCGCCCACGTGAAGACTGACTTGCCGATTATGACTGCCTACTACTGGGACATTGGCTGAAGCTACAATGCAATCAGAAGCCTCAGTTTCTGCTGGCATCAAAAATATCACAAATAAGCCGCGCATCCCGAAAGTTAAGACGAGTATTTTCGATCCTTGAAAGTGGCAGTTATTTCACAATTGGACTATCAAATAATCAGACGCACCAAAAAATTTGTCCTTTTCTTCAAAAAGTCCCATTTTGGTAAATGGACTCGAGAGTAAAGTGGTTTGTGGTTATTGCCTTGAACGCAGTTGGGTAAACTCACCGACTAGCTAATGCTCCTGAAAGCATGATTCCACGTATCTAATTAAGAAACCGTGTTTTCCACTACAAGTCTCCATTTCCCAAATAGTTGGTAGGGCGAGAGTTGTGCCAAGTCAAGTGTGTGCGTGCGTGCATGCATGCATGTTAGCACTCAAGAGGCCACACCAGCGTCCAAGCAAAACTCATCGTGACTCATTGGGCCGATTTATGGGAGTAAAACAACCTCGTCAGATAGAGACCATGTCGTAGACAGAGGGGAGTGGGAGGAACAATGGAAAAGAATTACAACACAATTGTTTACGTGTTTACAGCGTTGATGATAGCTGAGTTAATGCAAGAAAACAACTTTTACGTGTGTGGAGCTCTGAATATTCAGGTCCTTCGGTTGAATGTTATTGCGGTTGATCAAATCATTTAATCCGTATTTGAAGACAAGATTGAAGGAGACCTTTAGCGTGTCTCTTAAAGACAGGTGTTGGTAATTTTTATGGGCTGCCAATCTCTAGCAACGGTTTATGTGTTTCAGCTTCGATCTCGGTTATTTGGTCCCAGATAGGCGCGTTTGAGTGTTTGTGGATAGTCTGTAGCTTGCTGTCCAATTATCACCATAACGACTGTCGTAAAGGCCACGTCCGCTTGACAGCCTTTGACGTTTGAGGTAATTGGTATTCTCGTATAAGGTTGATTAAGCATCATCAACAGCGTAGAGACTCATGGATTCAATCAACAAGGCTGAGGGAGAGAAATGTGATGCCATCGTGTCTTCCCATCCCATTCAGCAGGCTGGCGCATCCGCCCAGTCACTCGCTCGCCTGCTTCCACGCACACGCGTAGTAAAAGCAACACTACTAGAAGCAGTTTTATCAATGAATCACTATAACCAACCAGTTTATCCTCCTTGAACATCACGCTTCAGGCCCATTACAGGACTGAGGTGCATCCAAATTTGGGCAACAGCAAGGCCACCACTGACTTATGGTGGTACGAAGTTGAAGCATGCATCCCTTCATTTCGCCCCAAATCTCTCATCAACACTAAGTCTGCTCTCAAGACCCTCGCAAGTAATAGGTATCACACTTTTGTGTCCCAAATTGCACCCTATGTGACGCCTTTAGTAGTCTACACACTCAGTTTGAATGCTTGAATCGAACTGTCACAGTGACGTTGGTGATTAAAACATGACGAGGTGCGGCGTCACCTTTTGGTAGCAATAGGCTATTTGGCTTATTTGAGAATGACTATTTCAGAATAGCCAAGACAGTATATTGCACGCCAGAAAGGAGAAATCCGAAGGAATTTTAGAGGGAAACGCACAATATTGCAAGCACTGTATTCTCATTCATATTGATAACAAATATGTGTAAATACTTAGAAAAGATTTTTAGTGTGGAGTCCATAATTTGTGTGACCTTACGTGGAAAGCTAAATGATGAGCAACTAAATGATGAGTTTTCTAATAATGAATTATAAATGGCTCATAGCGGACATGCTAGCGGCCTTCTGATTGGCAGAACTTAATTAATTTGTGTGAAGAAAGTGTGATTACTTGACCTGACACCACTTTGCGTCACCTTGTGAACTCGCCCTCATCAACTTCGTTTGCACGCAGCTGCCGATATCCGTGCCAAAAACGTCAGCTCTCAAGGCAGCTGCAGCATCAAATGTAAATTCAGTTGATAGATCTTACTAGTGAAGCAATCGGCTCCCGTGCTTAATAAATCGTTTCATTTCTCTCTCCCTACCCTATTTTATGGAGAAAATTTTAAAAATAAGGAATGGTGGCTAGTTAAAATCCCCAAAACGTAAACACGGAGCCTGCTGTAAATTGTAAACTAACCGCCTAAGTGGCTACCGGAGGAAATCAAACGTTTATGTGGAATGTGGTTAGGTAAACACACTGAGCGGTAGATTGCTTTATTGCGGTCTGGCAATTGGCATGAGTAGGAGGGTCAATTAATCTGTCAATCAACAAAACACACGCACACTCAACACCTGGTACCTTCACGAATTGTTGTGATAGTGAAGGGACAACGGTGTGCATTGAATCAGTGTATGAGAGATCGGACAGCTAACTGTGCTTTCGCCCCGTGGGCGCTGATTACTCTAGCAGACAATTTTGTTCCGCCAAAAGCAGAAAATGTTGTGCTCATGAAAACTCTTAACATACCGAATTCAATGAGAAGCAAGATAAGCAGGTGTTCACTACCACCCTTGAACTTCATAGTTGGTTGTCTAAAAGAGAAAAATAATTTGAGTTCATTGAGTTTAGCTTGCCTTCGTGGATGTCGTTCTGTATCGTAATGCTTCTCCCGTTCAGCACTAATAAAGCCGATATCTTGACCAAAATAGTGTGGCTTAGCATACGGATTCTCTGACCCTGTTGTGCATTTCACTGAAATCAGACGGGTGACTCTAAGACTTACAAGGAGAAGTAAGGACGTTCCATCGTCGAATCGGTTTTGGGCTATGTTAAATAATATCTGTTTCTCGACCCTTTACACTATGCGTGCAGTTAGTCATGGGGACCGAAAGGAAAGGTGATTAAGGCTATGCACGCAACTGCAAATTATCCAAGTAGCCAAGAGGGAGTCCCATTGCACCACCTACAAGAATTATGCAACGGCCATTACGCGAGTCTAAGGCCAGCAAAAATGCATGCAAATGAAAATTGTTGTTTGTATAATACCTCGAACCATCCCTTAAATGAGTAAAAATGGCTTTTACCTCACATCCCCTCCCTTTATTAGACGTCTACGATGCAAAGAAAGACGTTTTATATTGTCAACTTCAAGGTTATCATCACGATGATCTCTGAACGATGAAGCTTCTCATCAATTGGTAAGTACGTTTAACCGATCGCTAAACTTGGAAAAGAGTTCGTTCGACAGTTGTGGTACTTTCGCCACTCTTAGCGCTAATAGGCGTCAGTCTATAATTAAGGGACGTAAGCTACTGGAGGGCTTTAAGCATGGAGTCAAATTCCTTTCGAGAGCACACTTTGGCATTTCCTTGGATGGGAAAATAGTGGGACAAATCCACATCCTGACCAGTCCACCTGTCAAGTTTGTATTCCATCCCAAGTACTCAGCGAATTCGTATGATTCATTCAAAGTGTGTTCGGGTGTGTGAGAGGAAAAGAAATGGAGGTAAAAGCAAAAGTAGAATGTGGGCGTAAATTTTTGCAGTAAAGTCAGCTCAATCGTGGTAACTAAGGCCGCTGTAATGAATTTAATGCAAACAGTAGTCCAGCAAACAAGATAGGAATATCCAACCAATCATCATGAACGAGGCTGTCTGTCTTCAAAATTATAAAATTTAATCCATTCCGGTACCTTATTCAAGTAGGCTGACACATTCGGCATGAAGAAGCTAAAGTAATACCATTCCATGATTTCATCCTACTGCAAGCCGTCTTCCTGGTAAACAAATGATTTTTCAGTATACTACCCAACTTCAACAGGCGTTCAAACATTTCGGGCTGCAAATGCATGATTTCCAACTGTCTTAACCGAGAACACAGACCTCAACAGATGCAAGAGGAAGAGGGCGAAAATCATGCTAAGTAGCTATGACAATCGCCCTTCCTTCACTTCTAGACAAAGTGAATTGTCAGAACTTCTTAATGTGATAAGTACCAGACAACACAAACTGTCATATGTTTGTACACTTGGATCACGAAGCGGAAGAAGAGGCAGTAAACGCGAGGAAGGAAAGCAAATGATATTTTCTGCACTGAAAACAACTAACATAAAATATCGACAAGAAGTACTGGCATTTTTCCAAGTTATACTTTCAACATTTCCACACAAATCGCCGTTTTTATTCAGCCTTTTTTATATTTATATTCAAAGGAGGAAAAGCAGATTTTCTTGAATAACTTAAGCTCCGTCACAAAGATGAGGAATACAAATGCCTCTAAAACACAGCAAATCAAAGGAGCAAAGTTGGCAATGGATAATTTTCTGCTTTTAAAGCGGCACTTACAAAGAGCTGCTTACAATCACAGAATTTTATCGTGACATTTTCTAACTGCCATGACACCATTCGATTAATGCGCAGAATACTTTCTGAGGACATTCTTTGGTTTTAAATGCGCTGCATTTCAAATAGCAAGACAAAAGGCCAACTTACGTTGATGAGACCAATGGAGGAACTAATTCAGCCCAAGTCCGGTGGTGGCGAGGAGGTGTTAAAAGGAGACTGGACTTTTTACAAATGCACTCCTACGTAGCAACGTTTATTTTACGTGCGCACTGGCCGCGTACCGGTGACCCCGACCAATCAGAGGTCGCACAGCTCGCAGAACAGACAAGTCGCGTGCGCGCGTGCAGACTTGCCTCCTCGAGGCACCTGCTGTGCGAGACGATGCTGTGAAGGGTGGGAGACGTGGGCAGGGGGCAGCAAGGGTACAGAAGGAGGGGGAAGGAAGGCTTTCCATGGAGGGGGAGGAAGAGGGACGGCATTTACAATTGACGATGTCCAAAAAACGAACGCCATACAAACACAAGCGTGATTGAATGGTCTTAAAGCCTGCCATTCATGTTTCCATTACTTTCTCCCTCTCCCTCTCCCTCTCTGATCGACTCCCTTCCGTAAAAACACGTGTGTATGTTTCTCAATTACTGTAGCGCAAACAATTTTTGAGAGGAATGCAGCAATAATGCCCTCTCCAATTATTAAAGCACGATAAACACTAGCACTCCTTTATTTCGTCTTGCAATTATTTGCTAAAATCTGGGTTATGCACCAAAAACTAGCTCAAAGCAGCCAGAATTAGTTATACCTAAAAACT